TCTTCTCCGGTTTCCTCATCCCTAGAACGGTAAGTTCCAAAACACACAAAAAGCATTCAATCCATTGAATCCAACATTACTAGAAAGAAATGAAAATGAAAGTGTATGATTGGAACATATGCAGGAAATTCCAATATGGTGGAGGTGGTACTACTGGGCTTCTCCAGTGGCATGGACTATCAATGGCCTTGTGACATCCCAAGTGGGAGATAAACTCGATCCGGTCAAGATAACTGAAGGAATCGAAACGACGGTGAAGGCTTACCTCGAGACACTTGGGTTCAAGTATGATTTCCTTCCGGCTATCGTTGCGGCTCACATCGGATGGGTGCTTCTGTTCTTATTTGTCTTTGCCTATGGAATCAAGTTCCTTAGCTTCCAAAGGAGATGAGCAAAATGCACACAACATGAATAATTGTCTCATTGTAACTTCTTTTATAGATACCGACCTTGTAATATGTTGCTCTTTCATACCCATTTCAAATTTAATTAAAACCTTTAATTTTTTCTTTTAATTTGACTCCAAGGCGAGTTACTTGATACCCACTCAAAAACTTGCGAGTAATAAAAATATTAATTTATTAAATTTTTAAATTAAATTATTAATAATATTAATATTAATATTTATATGCTATTTTTTATAATAAAAATGCAGTATAAAATTTTTATTTACTAAAAGTTTAGATTTAAACTTGAGTTTGAGCTTCAACCGTACTAAATCTAAGAATATTTCGAATTTGAGTTGAGTTTAATTGTTGATTTCGAATTTAAGACGGGCTTCGTAATATTAAATTTACCAATTTTTGAATCTAATGAAACTTCAATTTAAACTTTATCGAGTTAAATCAAATCGAACGATACTGTGGAATGCTTTAGTATTTGTTTGATACCCATCCCACCGCACGTTGCAGATGACATGAAGCCATTGATGATATGGGGTTGGGGATACTGCATCTCTCCAATGTGGTAATGGACAGAATGGCATTGTCATCACTGAAATTTCCCAATTATCCAAAAATGGGAAACTCAGTGAAAATAATAAGTAAACAATCCATTTATGAGTGGAAACATGCAACAACATCCACTAGCAATATATACTAAAGATGATAGTAATCATGGTTTATTGACTCTAATAAGCGTGTTTGTGCTTCTTTGATATCATCATTATCTTTCTTTATTTGACATTTTCCCTTCATCTTATCAACAAAGCAGTGGACTTTCAACAAGATTATAATATAATAAATAAATACATTCAATAAATCTGATATGGATAAGTATAATTATTCAGTTATACCATATGTAATTTAAAATGATGTTGCATCAATAATAATTTTAATAATTTATAAAATTTAAATTTTATGTATGCGATCATACAAATCCAAATCCATATATCTGATTATACATTAAACTAAAATTCATTTATGTTTTTTTATTTATATATCCGTTGAAAGAGCGCCTACATTTAAAATAAAAACCATATAGATTCAAATAAGTGTGTCTGCTTTGACTTCCTATAAATCGAGAGTCAATATATTTCAAGTGATCAATTGATGGAGCAAATTATATGGAAAGAATCGATTATAATAACGTAAGATGAAAAAAAATTATTGCAGGAACTAAATTATCTTAATGGTTAAAGTAATGATTATTATTTTTAGAGATCTCGGATTCGGACACCAACGACTGCAACATAGATGATCGAGCATTTAGTGTCAAATAGTTGATTTAGAACATATATTAGTTTATAAAATTACCTTTAACTTAATAAAAAAAGGACAAAAAGCTTATAAAAATTTGTAAAATCTGATGAAACCCTCATGGTCATTGGTCATTGGTCAGCTTATCAACATATATATATTTTACAAAGTTCATGCTTCGTCTTATTTTGTATAGTTGTTTTAATAAAATCATACAAGACTACCTCTTTCAAAAAAAATTATAAAAAATAAATTTATGTTATTTCTAATAATTAATATACATTATATAATTTCTTAATAAAAGTATAAAATTATACAGCATCAATACATTAAGCATTAATGCATTAAAATTTTTAAAATGAATGAACTAAACCAATGAAATGCCTTGTCCTAATGCACCAAATGGTCTATGAGATCATCGAACCACAAACAACACACTTCCAAAACTTTAATCCTTAAAAATCTCATTCCAAATTTGTAGTTGAACTTTCCATACACCTTTTAACATTAAATAAAGTCCATATATATGCTCTTTGGATAAGTCCCCTAACTAACTAGTAGGAATGGGCATGGGTCGAGTTTTTGGTCCACTCAACCCGACATCAGAATAAGGAGTCCTCCACCCGAGACCCGATCTGACCCGACCAAAACAAGTTTTCACCCGATTCGAACCCGACCCGATATATAACTTAAAAACCCGACCCGACCCTACCCGAAATAATAAAAAAAATTATTTTTATTCAATAAAAACAGTGACTTAATTGAAAAAATAATATATAGAGGGGTATTATTGTAATTATTCCTAAATATATAAAATAAAATTATACGGTCGAGTATTTTTCACCCTAAATCTGAACCCAATCCGACCCGGACATCATATAAAAAAAATCCGACCCTAAATCAATTTTTTTTAAATCCAACCTGATCTGATCGAATCGGAACCCGTCGATTTCGGGTCCCATGACCATCCCTACTTAAGGCAAAAAAAAAAAAAGTATAAATTGCAAATCATCGCAAGATTATTAACTAACATAAAAAAAAGTAGACAAAGTTATATATAAAATTCAAGTTAAAGTTTGTTTGAGGTTAAATTCTAACAAGCTTCTAAACCAAATACATATAACACGTTATTAGGCCAATTTCATTAGAAAAATATCATTTTTATTTACGTAAATAATATTAAAAATTATTATCCTTTTAATAAAGATGTGTCACATAGGCTATATATACTTTTTAAAAGATGCATTGTAACTTCTAATATTTGCATCATTCAATATCAATTATTCATTTTTATTTATGAAAATAATACTAAAATGTTTATTTAAGAAAGGATGAGTTTGTCACGTTTAACGAACACCGTTGAACACTATTAATACTAAGCACTATTAGTTTAATTTATAAAAAATTTGAAACTCTAAAGGACTCAACGTGTATATTATAAATTAGTTAAAAATTTAAAAGTAAATCATTTATAATAAAAAATTAATTACATTATTTTCTATAATATTTAAAAAAAATAAAAAAGATATATAATTTACCTTTAAAAATTATTTAAAAAGTGTTAAAAAGCATGGAATATAATATAATTAATATTTTATTTTAAATAATTTATATTTACATTTTTATAGTTTTAAAAAGATGTATTTACGGGGAGTAGCTTCCATCATTCAATATCAAATTAAAAGAAGAGAAAATAATATAAATTTTATAAAAAAAAAATAAAACACATTAATACAGACAAGTAATTACATAAACGCAAACCAGTCAAACAATAACAGTGTATGTGTGTAAATTTTATGTTTAGTCACTCAATAAACATACGTTTAAATAATTATATTTAAATATTTTAAGAAATAATTTTTCGTACAAAACCAACTCAAATAAAATTGTATTCATATACCTTGTAATAATTTTACACAATTCTGCATATGATTTCATGTTGTCCTCCTTATATAATTTTACATATTTCGACATGATCTTTTCAGTTTCATTTAACAATATCAATGGAAATTAAACCCATCCATGTTTTTGAATATTTTCAATAATTTACTTCTAAATTGTAAAAAAATATTAAATTTCTCAAAAAAAATAAAAATTTTAATTAGACCCTCACGTTTTTTTAAAATATTATTAAGTCTCACAGTACTTTTTAAAAATTTTGGACTAAACCTCTAATAATTTTGAAATTTTTGATAAAATCTGTGAACTGTTATAACAAATATTAAACCCTAAATGGTAGACTTTTAATGGAAATGCTAACGCTAATTGTCCATCAAATGGAGGCCTGACGACCGTGACTGTTTGGCATCACCTTCTTGTGGTTTTCATGTAATGATTATTAGTAAAATCATTTTGGTAAAATGGAAGACCATAGCCTCAGACATCATATCATTTTGTTTTCCCAACTTGCCTACAACTTTACAAACAAGTTGGAGAAATTTAATAAAAAAATATCATTTTCCTGACTGTAACTTCAAGTTATCTTTATATAATAATTCACTTCTCAATAGCGATGGTGAAATTTCATATTTTTTAAAAAATATTTTTTCTAAAAAAAAGAGTAAACCCGTACATAAATTTTCAGTTTATTTTAAGTGGGATTTCCTTAAAATATATACTCATATAATTGTCTGTCCAGCTCAGTTGGTAGAGCATAAGATTATTAACTTTAGAGTTGTGGGATCGAGTCCCAAGGTGGACAATTCATAATTCGGAGGTCTTCCACGAAAACTACTCTCAACAGCCTACTATCGTACCTCCCCTTATCCCATTACATATGGGAATAAGGGTCAACTAATTTTATCTACTCATAGATATTTTCTGAATTACAATATGATGGATGTACTTTTCAAATGGGGTCATCTTTCATCATTTCCTATCATATTGTGTTCTTTTCAATCTTACATCGCATAAATTCTATTATTAGCACTTGTAATATGCATAAGTTGTGGATTTAGTCACTATATTTTAATTTAATTATTTTTGGTGCCTATACCTTTTATATTTTAAATTTTGATCATGTTGTAAAATGTGTTAAATCAAATTATATCATTAGTCCTTAAATTTTCTTTTATCCAATGGATTCCCTCTCTGTTTCCATCAATGGAACAGTCAGCGTCAAACCTCAAACTCTTTCACTTCTAGTGGTTTCACACTGTCACTAAAGCCTTCAATTTCATACCATGCTCGTGTGAATCGAAAATGAGTTGTCTTGGAATCGCTTCACTTTTGTTACTGCTGATTGGAATGAGCTTGAGAAGTTGATTTTCTTTTCTTTCTTACGTTTGTTTCGTATATAATTAGGAAAAATGATATCGGGAGGGATGAATTTGGTGATGACAGTCATAGGTTTCACTGTGAGTATTATGTTCATAGTGTTTATTTGTACACGTCTGATTTGTGCTCGGATTCAGCTCAGAGCTTCTCGGAGATCCCTCGCAGTTTCTTCAAGATCTGATCTTAGTATGGTAAGCTTTTTTTCTTTTCTTTTTTAAGAAAACTTTTTTTGGGGGTCTTAATTCTTAAATTTCCAGAACTGGGTTGTGTTCTTTTTTTTATTATTTATTATTATTAACAATTCTGGTTTGGTTGGATGTTCAACTATACTGATGGAAAGCAATTATTTCCTAACATTTTTAATATATATAATATTTCTGGTCAATTTCACAAATTTTCCATAATAATAGGGTTTTAACATTTGGAATCTGATTGTTAGTGGTTATTCAACATTAGCAATGAAAGGATAAATTTTGAGGGTACTGAAGAGAAGGTTGAAGGCACTTCCCCCATATGTTTAGGAATCTTGAATTTTTTTCCCTTTTGGGCATTTCTTATGTGGAAATTTGAATTTATGTATGGATTATAGTTGATATTGTTTACTTCTGCATTTAAACTTCTAAAATGGTTTCCACAGAACTTTTATTTATGGTTTTCTTTGGGTGGTTCATAAGTTTTTCTTAAAATTGTTAGATGTGATGTAATGATTTTGGAGGATTTTTGGCTTTTAAGCTCCAATGCCTTTGTTTATATGTGAACTAAAAGGTAGATGAGAAAAGGGGAAAAAGAGAAAATGTTTGTCATTTTAGTTATATTCAGACTTGGGTGAGTCTCGGATCGGGATGTGTCCCACAGATATGTTCAACATCCCCAAAATTTACATGTATTTAGAGTGTTCTTGGAAAGTATGAGTTGGACATAAATATTCCTAGAAAAAAATTGAAGAATTTTAGCAACGTAGTCAGACATTTTGCTAAAACCAACCAGACAAAAATGAAAATCAGAAAGTAATAGAAGTAAACCTGAATCATTATCTCATGTTTATTATCTTTTCAATTGTTTCATTCATTCTTTATGGAGTGATCCTCATTCGCTATTGATATTGAATTTTGTATATGCAGCTCGAAAGGGGTACACACGGTCTTGAGCCCGTTGTTGTTGCAAATTTCCCGACGAAGAATTTCTGCGAGGAGTGCTTCTCAGCTGACAAAGATGCTCAGTACGTGCTTGGAACCTTGCTTTGTTTAGGAAATTATTGCACGTTTCTTTACTATATACTATTTTACATTATATCATGAAGATAAGTTTTCCATGAAAAAGTGCTAGATGCCTTGGATTTGCAGGTTGAGGTTAGTTATTACATTTTGTTGTATTCAATTTTCTTTTCACAGTGAAGATGTTGGCATTAAGCATTATCGGCCTTTGTTAATATGTCTCGCATCATCAAGTCACAAATGTGATAGACTATGGACGGTTGTTCAGATACTGATGCTATTTCTGTGTGGGCAAATTGAGTATTTCTTCCTGGTTTTGTCCGTAAACGTTTTTATATGGGAATTAGTCTGTTTTGGCTTTAATAGTTTTTTCCCCAGTAAGTTGAGCCATTTATTCTGTAAATAATAGTTAAAATAACGAGGGAAGGGGCGGAGCTTATGTTGCTCTGACTCTTCATTTTCCTTGGAGTGCCCATGTTCAACAGCTGTGTCCAACACTTTCAGATATGGGTATGGATTTGATGGAACAGCCATCCTCCATATTTACTGTGCTTTGGGATTGTTAACAATGCTGCTTTCTTTTCTTATTATTGCTAATTGATTTGGGATTCTTCTGATAATGTAACTGATGATTGTACATGACAGAATATTGTTCTTTAATAATTCATTTTGAAGTGTTCCTGCTTTCTGGGATTCTTATTTATTTCATCAATAATTCGTTTGTTTTTAGAGGTTTTTACGTATTTTCTTCACTTGGATTGCTTATAGCATCTTAATCCGGACGCAGCTAATAAAAATTTTGAATTGCTATGTGCCGCAGGTGTGCAGTTTGCCTTTCGGAATACCGTTGTGAAGACACCTTGAGAATCCTCCCCTATTGTGGCCACTCCTTCCATGTAACATGCATCGATATATGGCTACAACAGCATTCCACGTGCCCTGTTTGCCGAGTGTCACTACGCGAATTCCCCGAGAAGAAACGGTCGATGCAACCGTTGTTCAGTTCCGCCATTCGATCGCATTTCGGGAGAGAGTCTTTCGACACACACGCGTACAACTGTTTGTTGAGAGGGCAGGGTTTTTCATTGAGAACCCGCGACAACCCTGCAATGGAACCGATTCAAGAGAATTCTTTTGCAAGTGTGGGAAGAAATGGAAATCCAGAAGCAGGGGAAAACATGTCCCGTACGATCAAAGACGATGAAAACGCCATTAAAGAGTCGAGAAAGAAGCTTGTGGAATGCCCTTCAAACCCTTGAATTATCCTTGTTTGTTGATTGTAAAGGTCTCGTGGTTGTGAAGTGGATTGGTTTCCGTTTGTTATTTTTTTGGTGGGTTATTGTAAATATTTCGAAAATCTGCTTGTTTTTGTGTAATTTTAATCCTCAATATTAGATGGTTTGGCTAGAGGCGGTAAACGGATCATTCGGATTGGGTTTGGGTTGAGTAATTTTGGGTAGGGTAATTTCGGGTTTAGATTAAATTCGGTTTAATTTTGTTCGGATCTAATTCGGGTGTACAGTGAATTGGGTCGGGTCGGGTATCGAGTTGGTCAATTTTTGGGTTAGTGATTATTGGATCAGTTGTTTTCCGGTTCGGATCAATATCGGATCGATTGATTTTTTGGGTCGGGTCAATATTGGATCGGTTGATTTTTTGGTTGAATTAATAACGGATTGGTTAGATTTTGGATCGGGTTAATATCGGATCAGTTGATTTTCGGTTTAGGTCAACCCTTAGATCAGATTAATTCGGGTTGAATTGGTTATGAGTCTAATCAAAATCAAGTATATATAAAATAATTGATATATACTTGTAAAAATATGTCTTCTTATTTGTTAATTTTATCATTTAGGTTTAATTTCAATTCTCAATCGTTCAATATTTTGAATTAAACCATTATTTAGAGATGATAAATCGGTAATTTGACACAAATATGATTATATAAAATGTGTTAGAATTTGTTATCAAAATTTTATATTGATCTCGTATGAAAAGTTTATAATGAAACTATTTAATAAAGAAATAAACTTTATTAAAAAATATTTTCAATTATAAATTTAATATTTTTATTAAATTTTAAAAAATAATACATAACTTTATTTGTTAATTTTTAGTCGTAGCATCAGTAAACTTTATATTATTTTTATTATAAATCTAATATTATTTCATTTGTTTTAGTTGTTTTCTATTATTTTTATTATACATATAATATTTTTTTAACAAGTAAGATAAGTAAACTTTATTTATTATTGATTTCAATCTTACAATTAGATTCTTACTTTTATATTCCTCTTAAATTTTCCATTATTTTATTATAAATCTAATATTTTTAATAAATTATCAATTTTATTTAAATTGCTTTATTATTGAAAATAACTTTTATCGTTTAATAACTTTTATCAATTTCAATTTGTTTGGGTTGCTTTCGGTTCGGATTCAATTCGAGTTTCTTTCTATTCGAGTTAATTTCAGTTCGGGTTACTTTCAGTTTGAGTTAATTTTAATTCGGGTTGCTTTTGGTTCGGGTTAATTTCTGTTTCGGTTCGAGTTAATTTCAGTTATGATTGATTTCGATTTCGCTAAATTTTGGATCGGGCATAGGTCGAGTATCGAATCAAATTTAATTATCATGTTCTGTTTAATATCAAGTATTGGATTAGGTAAATCGATTCAGATAATCAAATTCGGCTCAACTTTGTCAGGTCTAGTTTTGGCAGTTTTGTTGACTCAGTTGTAAAACTAGAATTAAATCTAAGTTTCTTTTAGTACATGACCGATTTAATTTTGTTTGGACGAAATTGAAAAGTTTCAAAATTTTAAAAATAAATTAAGTTATCTTAATTTTCAATCGGTTGAAATTATTTTATAATTATTTTGTTAAATTTCTTGAGTTAAAGAATTAAGGGTAAAATTTTAGTCGTTTTCTTTAATCTTCCCCCATGCTTTACATATTACAAACGGTGTAATACTTTTAGTGACATTTAAAAGCGTCACTAAATAATCAGCTAGTACGATTACCGTGGAATCACGAGTCAATTGATTGGCCGCTAAATGCCAATCTGAGGCTACAATATAAAATTGCCCAATAGGCCAGGGGACACTACCACATGTATTCTTTTCGAAGACTGGAACATCACTCTCCATGGTTCAAATGCTTTCTCCACAAAAGTAAAATGCTTGTTTACTGTCTCTTGAAAAAAAATAAAACAAAATTTACAATGAGGGATATCATCCAATTATATTATGTAAATTTTTTCAGCTTTATATATTTAGAATCATTAAATGACTGAAAACGAACGACTTAAATTAATAAAAAAAATTAAAAGATATTTATTAAAGAAAAAATAATGAATATCTTATTATTTTATTTTAAATCATTTAACCATCTTAAAATCTGTGTAAAATTAAACAAAGTTATATTATGTAAATGAAAAATCTGTAAAACGAAAATTACGATCTTGAAAATGAAAAATCTATAGAAGCTAAAGTGGAATTACCATAATAAATTATTATTATTAATTTTTTAAACATCAAAAAGTAAAATCAACAGTTAATATTAATAATAGACCCATACAATGAAAAGGTAGTAAAATTAACTAATCAATTTGAAGAAAAAAAATACAAGATACAAATAAATATATACGTGAATAGTAAAAAAATTAAGGGTAAATTACACGACTGACCACTCAACTATGGTAAAATATCATTTTGACCACTGATGTTTCAATTCAATCAATCAAATCACCCAACTATTTAAATGTTTCAATCAAGCCACCCGCCCGCCGTTAACATTTGAAGGAGAAGGTGACGTAACACTTTGGTATAATTACACAATTGATATATGTTATTTATATATTCTTTTAATTTAGTCATAATTTTAATAAATCAAAATAAATTTAACCCTCGAATCAGGAGATGTCATGTGTTGTTGGCGACACTTGTCATGTGTTGTTGGTGACACTTGTCATGACATGTGTCACCCTCTTGAAAGAAAATAAATCATGCAGAAAGATTGTGTTAGAGGATTTGAACACAAGACTCATGGATGAAGTATTAGGAGTCGAACTATTGAGCCAAAACATCCATTTGTTGTCCAAAATATATCAAATGGATGTCATGGCTCAATGGTTTCACTGTCATGTCATCTCCTTCGTTAAATATTAACGGCATGTGGCTTGATTGAAACATTTAAATAGTTGAGTGGTTTGATTAATCAAATTGAAATATCAGTAGTCAAAATATTTTTTAACTATAGTTAAGTAGTCATCTGTGTAGTTTATCAAAAAATAAATACAATCAAAATTAACATATTAATAAAATATAATAACACATTAATAATTGAGCTTATCATAATTCAAGCCCACACTTTAGGATGCAAGCCCTTATCAATATAAAAAAAATCAATATAAGAATTGAGGTCGTGGGATCGAGTCCTATGGAGGGCATTTCATAATTTGGAGGTCTCCTACGGAAGCTGCTCACAACCTAGTGTTGGGGGCAGCCTACTATCTTACATCCTCCTTACCCCATTACATATGGGAACAAGGGACAACCATTTAATATAAGAATTGAAAACAACAGTAAAATAGTACAATAATCAAATAACTGTCGATTTGAGAAACCATAATAAATTTTTTTTTTAAAATGCTTCAAAAACGGAGAACAAAATTCACCATTTTTATTAAGGGTTTGTTTGTTTCACTTAAATTGTTTTTGGAAAATGTTTTCCTCATTTTTCAGTGTTTGGTTGGAGGAAAACTAGTTGGTTAACATAATTTCCTTTGTGTTTTCTGGAAAATGACTTACGGTCTGATTTTCCGTAAGTCATTTTCCGAACTTTTCACTTTAAATAATAAATACTCAAATAATTTTATTTTATGAATTTATATTAATAAAATTTTAATATCATTTTAATCAAAATATTAATTATTAAAATATTTAAAATATATTTATTAATATTTCTAATATATATATTAGTTTTTAATATTATAATAAATTAATCAATTATATTATAATAATATAAGATATATTTTTAATTTAATAATATATAATAAATTACTAATAAAATTTATATACTTAATATTAATATAATAATATAATAATATTTTAATAAATATATTTAAAATATAATAATTAATATTTTTAAAATATAATATAACACTATTACTTTAATAAATAATTAATATAATTTACAATATTTTTATTTCAATAAAATTATAAAAATAATATTTTAATAATAAATAAATTATTTTAATATTTTAAAATTAATAATATTAAGTTTTATGATAAATAATATTATTTATTATATTTAATATTTATAATAAATATTTTTTTAAATTCATCAATTAGTGGAAAAAAATTTAAACAACATCTTTCAAATAACGTATGGATGAGAAACATATATGTTTATGTTATTTTTATTTTTCAATTAAAAAAATCAGTTTATTTATTCCTCGTAGTTATTTTCTTCAATGAAATTTTATTTAGAATGGCATGGTACAACAAAGGCCCAAAAAGAAACTTAGAAAATTGAATCAACAAGTACAATGGGTCTGTTAAGCCCGACAAACCCTAGATATCAACCATCCTAGCCATCATTTATCAAACGTCAAATGGGAAGGGCAATTAAAGAGGCATGCTTCTCAAGATGAAGGCCATGTATCCTTAATTAGTAATATATTGGATGCATAAATTAATAATGAATATTTGTTATGTGAATAGTAAATGATTTATATAGTGTATTCGTTTTCTTCTTAAATTTTATATATCAAGTAAAATATAAGTTTAAAATTTTAGATAACATGAAGGTAACTTCATGTACAAGTAAAGAGTGTTTAAAAGTGTTGAGCTTAGGGGTGACAATGGGCAAGTTGGGGACGGTTTTGCATTATTCATTCTGTCTCTAACACTTGCAGATACGATTTTGGGGAATCCTCATTATATATTTTGGGGATTTTTTTGTCCCCGTACCCATCCCTTACGGATCTCTGCTGTTTCGGTTAATTCTCATCACAAAAAATAAACAAACATCTTTTAAATCAATGCAACACCTAAAACTTGTAAGATATATCAAATTGTCTCAAATTGGTTTCTATCTATAATATGAAAGTTTCAAACGTTAATATTCATCTAGCTCCTAATGTATATATACAATCTTAATCATTTTCAATCTCAACAAATCAATGTATATTAAATGAGAAAAGATATAAACTTCAATTTTAGTTCATTTGAGATGTAAAAGTGGCAACATGTAATCTCACAGATATTTTTTGAGGATTCTCATTGTTATTTTTGTAAAATATCGAGATCCCTACGATTATTTTTTGGGATCCCCACAATTATTCACACAGGTAC